CAGGATCACACTATTGCTTTATAGTAAGTTTTGAAATGAGAAAGTATGAGTCTCGGCCGGGCGCGGTGGCTCAAGCCTGTAATCCCAGCACTTTGGGAGGCCGAGGCGGGTGGATCACGAGGTCAAGAGATCGAGACCATCCTGGTCAACATGGTGAAACCCTGTCTCTACTAAAAATACAAAAAAACATTAGCTGGGCATGGTGGTGCGTGCCTGTAATCCCAGCTACTCAGGAGGCTGAGGCAGGAGAATTGCCTGAACCCAGGAGGCGGAGGTTGCGGTGAGCCGAGATCGCGCCATTGCACTCCAGCCTGGGTAACGAGTGAAACTCTGCCTCAAAAAAAAGAAAGTATGAGTCTTCTAATTTTGTTTATTTTTTTCAGTGTTTGGCTATTCTAGTTTCTTTGCCTGTCTCTATAAATTTTATGATGAGCTTGTTGTTATCTACCAAAAAGCCTGCTGGAGTGTTTATTGGGATTGAGTTTTATCTGTGTTTTGTAATTTTAGCATATTGTCTTGCATACAGTTTGTTATATTTAAACCTCGATATTTCATTTTAGGACATGCTTTGTAAATGGTATTGGGTTTTTTGGTGTTTTGCTGTTGTTGTTGTTGTTGTGGAGTTTTTTTTTTTTTTTTTTTTTTTTGAGATGGAATCTCACTCTGTCACCTAGGCTGGGGTGTGTGCAGTGGCACAATCTTGGCTCACTGCAACCTCTTCCTGCGTTCAAGCGATTCTCCTGCCTCAGCCTCCTGAGTAGCTGGGATTATAGGCACCTGCCACCGCATATGGCTAATTTTTGTATTTTTAGTAAAGATGGGGTTTCGCCATGTTGGCCAGGCTGGTCTCAAACTCCTGACCTCAGGTGATCCACCTGACTTGGTCTCCCAAAGTGCTGGGATTACAGGTGTGAGCCACTGTGCCTGGCCTGGTATTGGTTTTTAAATTTCAAATTTCATTGTTCATTACTAGTAAACAGAAATACAGGCTGGGTCTCACTTTGCTGGAGTGCAGTGACACGGTCTTGGCTCACTGCAACCTCCACCTCCTGGGTTCAAGAGATTCTCCTACCTCAGCCTCATGAGTAGCTGGGATTACAGGCACCTGCCACTGTACATGGCTAATTTTTGTATTTTTAGTAGAGACTGGGTTTCACCATGTTGGCCATCCTGGTCTTAAATTCCTGACCTCAGGTGATCCACCCGCTTAGGCTTCCCAAAGTGCTGGGATTGGAGGTGTGAGCCGCCTCGCCCAGCTCAGTTGGTTTTTTTTAAACTGTGTATTTCCCCATTTATTGATTTGTGAGTTATATACTGTCTTCAATTTATATTACTTAAGTGGTTTCCTTTAAAATTTAATACAGATACTTAAGATCTCACATTTATCCCTACTCTCCATCTAATAAATACAAGGAGCTTAGAATGCTTTAACTTCAATTACCCCTCTCTCATGTACTTGTAGTCTGTTATTTTAGTTTTATCCTGATTCCCTCACACAAACATTATTAGTATATTATTATTGTTGTTTTATAGAGTTGCTAGTTTAAATTTATCTACATTTTGCTCACTGTTCCTTTTTGCATCTCATTCCTTCCTTCAGTGAGCATTTTCCTTCTTGAAATAATTCCTTTAGAATTTATTAGGGGGTCTATGGATGGTAAATACTCTCAATTTTAATCTAAAAACCTATTTTTCCCTTATTCTTTAATAATAGTTCATTTTTTATTTTATATATTTTATTTTTATAAAGACAGGGTCTCCCTACATTGTCCAGCGTGGTCTGGAACTCCTGGGCTAAAGTGATCTTCCTGCCTCAGCCTCCTAAAGTGCTGGGATTACAGGCTTGAGCCACTACACATGACCAAATAGTTTAGTTGGGTATACAATTCCAATTTGACAGTTGGCTTTTTTCTCAATATTTTGAAAATAATGTCTCTGGCTTGTATGTTTCTAATGAGAGGTCTGCCCTTGGTCCAATTTCTAATTGCCATTCTCTTGTAGATAACTCTGTTTTCTTTCACTGCTGTATGATCATCTTTATGTCTTGGTTTTCTTCAATTTAACTAAAATACGTCTATAGCTTTATTTTTATTTTTGCTTGGAATTTATTGTAAATTTTTATTTACCTATTTATTGTTTGAGACAGGGTCTCACTCTGTCACCCAGGCTGGAGTATAGTGACACAATGTCAGCTCACTGCAACCTCCGCTTCCTAGGCTCAAGTGATTCTCCTGCCTCAGCCTCCCTAGTAGCTGAGATTACAGGTGTGCACCACTACTGCCTAGCTAATTTTTTGTATTTTTAGTAGAAATGGTGTTTCACCATGTTGGCCAGGCTGGTCTGGAACTCCTGAGTTCAAATGATCCTCTAGCCTTGGCCTCCCAAAGTGCTGGGATTATACGTGTGAGCCACTGTGCCTGGCCCTGTAACTTTTAAATCTATAAAATTATGCCTTTCTGTAGAATGGACAATTGTGGCCATTATTTTGAAATGTCCAACATATATTGCATTCTAAGCATTCACAAATAAATAATTAAAATGAATTGGGGAAGACGTGGGTTGTGCCCACAGTTTCCCCTTTCTGCAAAGGAGAAGGCCTTCCTGAATCTGTCTGCTCTAAGTTATTACATTACCATCTACAGGCCAATTCTGAGGCAAACTAGACAGACACTGTGGGAGTCATGCAAGGAAGCAGAAGAAGAAATGAGGTTCCTGGTATTCCAGGAAGTGAGGCTATAAGGGAAAATAATAGAGTTCCTGCTGGACATGGTGGCTCACATCTGTAAACCCAGCACTTGGGAGGCCAAGGTGAGTGGATCACTTGAGGTCAGGAGTTTGAGACCAGCCTGACCAACATGGTGAAACTCCATCTCCACTAAAAATACAAAAATTAGCTGGGCATAGTGGCACACGCCAGTAGTCCTAGCTACTCAGGAAGCTGAGGCAGGAGAATTGCATAAACCTGGGAAGTGGAGATTGGAGTGAGCTGAGATTGTGCCACTGTAATCCAGCCTGGGTGACAGAGTGAGATTCCGTCTCAAAAAAAAAAAAAAAAAAAAAAAAAAAAAAAAAAAAAAAAAAATCTTTTTTTAAGACAGGATCTTGCTCTGTTGCCTGGCTGGAGTGCAGTGGTACAATCATGGCTCACTGCAGCCTTTACCTAGCGGGCCCAAGCAATACTCTTACCTCATCCTCCAAGTAGGCAGGGCCACAGATGTGGATCATCAACCCGGCTACTTTTTAAAAATTTTTTTTTGCTGAGAGGAGGATCTCCCTCTGTTGCCTTGCCTCATCTGGAACTCCTGGGCTCAAGTGATCCTCCTGTCTCAGCCTCCCAAAGTGTTGGGGTTATAGGCATGAGCCATTACACCTGGCCTAAAATCTTTTACCCTTTAGCCAAGGATGACATTCTCTTCCTCTGTCAATATTTAACTAGAAGGATCAGGCTAGGTGTCTCTCCATTGTGCTCCCCAGCATCCTTTTCTTCTCACATCTAGCACAGCATGTGGAAGTGTCATGACCTGTTTTCTTGTGTGTGTGCTAATATGTGAGTTAGGCTATGAGCGCCACAAGGAGAGGAATTGTGCCAGACTTATTCAAACAGCATCTCAGGCACTCAGATTAACAACTGGTGTCTAGTAGATACTCAACACAAGTGCATTGCATCAAAGACTGAATAATTTCAAGATAGGTGTACTGAATGTCTAATATGTACCAAGCACTGTTCTCAATGCTACAGAAAAGCAGGTTTCCAGAGTTAAACAATCAAAAACCCTGACATTGAACTTACATGGAATGTTAAAATAATTATCTACTATAAGCATTATTTCATGAAATAAAATAATTTCAACTCTATAAAACTAGGAAGCACAGAATAGAATACTACTTCCCTTAATGAAAAACTCACTACATTGTTCTTTTTAAAAATCTCATTTCCAGCTGGGCGCGGTGGCTCACGCCTGTAATCCCAGCACTTTGGGAGGCCGAGGCAGGTGGATCACGAGGTCAAGAGATCGAGACCATCCTGGTCAACATAGTGAAACCCCGTCTCTACTAAAAATACAAAAAATTAGCTGGGCATGGTGGCACGTGCCTGTAATCCCAGCTACTCAGGAGGCTGAGGCAGGAGAATTGCCTGAACCCAGGAGGCGGAGGTTGCGGTGAGCCGAGATCGCGCCATTGCACTCCAGCCTGGGTAACAAGAGCGAAACTCCGTCTCAGAAAAAAAAGAAAAAAAAAATCTCATTTTCTAGCTGAATGGTAAAAACATCATTGATTAGTTCCTATTCTTAGAAGGGCCATTGGAACCCACTGGTACAGAAGAGAAACAAAGTATTCATTCAGTGGAGATGTCTCTAGCTCAGTCAGCGGTACAATACAGTAAGGGAAATAGAAGTGACATGAGATGGACAGCCAAGCCTTAAATTGCTTGGTGCTGATTCCCGTTCCTTAGCCCAAGAATAGAAAGATAGGCGTGCCTGGAGTTGCTGAAGCACAAGCCTCGATGCGGGGTGAATTCCGTGAAGTGGTGCAGGGTTTTGCTGCTTGCCTAGTGTGTTAGAACACGTTACCTGGTAGAATTCTCACATTACCTCGTGAGATACATTGATATAATGACTCTATTTTACTGGTGCAGAAAGAGGCTCGGGAAGATTCACGTTTTTTGGGTGACTTGCCCAAGGTGACACAGTCCTAAAAACTGGCCTAGCGCAGGGTGTGATACCTCAAACTCAGACCTTCCCAGCCAGGGCTCGGTTCTCGCCGCTGCCTAGAAGATGAGGAAGCAGGGTCAGCAGAGAAGGGTGCTCCACCGGGACGACTAGAATACCTCAGTAGGATACAGATGGGCAAACGTGGGCTACACGATCCCACCGCCCTCTTTCGTCCGAAGTCCCGAGGCACGCGTGCAGCTTCAAGACTGGGCGCTGGAGCGAAGGTGGGGATTGCGGTAGGGCGCAGATTTCAGGGGCGGGGCCGCGCGGCGGGGGCGTGGCCGCGGCGCCCGGGGCGTGGCTTCCCGCGCGTTCGCTGCCCGGCGAGTGAACAACCGCGCTGCGGACGGACCATGGCGAGCGCCGGGCCTTTATCCGGCGGCGGCGCGGCCCGGCGGCAGCTGCACTCGGCGGAGGCGGTGGACGTGGCCTCGGCCTCTAACTTCCGGGCCTTCGAGCTGCTGCACTTGCACTTGGACCTGCGGGCTGAGTTCGGGCCGCCGGGGCCCGGCGCGGGGAGCCGGGGGCTAAGCGGCACCGCGGTCCTGGACCTGCGCTGCCTGGAGTCCGAGGGCGCCGCCGAGCTGCGGCTGGACTCGCATCCGTGCTTGGAGGTGACGGCGGCGGCGCTGCGGCGGGAGCGGCCCGGCTCCGAGGAGCCGCCCGCGGAGCCCGTGAGCTTCTACACGCGGCCCTTCTCGCACTACGGCCAGGCCCTGTGCGTGTCCTTTCCGCAGCCCTGCCGCGCCGCCGAGCGCCTCCAGGTGCTGCTCACCTACCGCGTCGGGGAGGGACCCGGGGTAAGTGCGCCCGGACCGCGCTGGCCGCTGCCTGCCCGCCCTAGCTGCCCCGAGCCGCCCTGCACCCGCACCCGCACCCACCCGGGAGGACGGACCGGGAGGACCCTTCCCGCGCGTCCCCGGAGGGGCCGAACTCCCCGCGCGCCGCCTCTCGGCCTCCTCCCGCTGCTGCCTCTTTTCCTCCCGGGCTGCCCGGTTTCTTTCTTCTGGGTTTGCTGCAGCCACTGGGCGGCGCACCCTTCGCCCTTTCCATCCTTTCTGCGTCTCCTCCCAGGCCTTGGCGGCTTGTCTAGATTGTGCCTCATTCCCGCTCCTCGCGCCCCGCCGTTTCTAAGACCTTCCGTGGCTTTCTGGATGACCGACTACTGTTCATGCACTTCATTTAGTCCTGCCTCGGACTTTGGGCCGAGGTCCCTGATTATCAGCCACTTTATCTCTGCCTTATGCTGGCTCTGGAAGTAGCCGGATGCTGATCTAGCTCCTTGTTTTGTGTGGCCTTCTAGTTACGAGGTTAAAGCTCATATCTTTTTGTTTCCTCCTGTGAAGTCCTGGATTTGATTAACGAAAGAATTTGAGTGAAAGTGAGAACTGGAATCAGGGTGCTATAGGCGTTATAATAATTTGGCCTCCTCACTGTTGGTTAACTCTTTTTTTCGGGGCAGAGGGCAAATATTGGAAATAAGAGGATGGAGTTACGTGGCTTAGGTCTCAAAGAGTCAGAAAATCGTTCCTGGAGAGTCCTTAGGCTGTGGCTGCCAGTTATCTCTCAGGCAGAGTGGGTTGCAAGTTTCACAGTAAACTGCTTGCTTACAGTTTAATTTTTCTTTTATTTGAGGCAGAGTATCGCTCTTGTCCAGGTTGGAGTGCAGTGGCAAGATCTTGGCTCACTGCAACCTCTGCCTCCCGGGTTCAAGCCATTCTCATGCCTCAGCCTCCCTAGTAGCTGGGACTACAGGCGTGCACCACCACACCCTGCTAATTCTTGTATTGTTTAATAGAGAGCGAGTTTTACCATGTTGGACAGGCTTGTCTCGAACTCCTGGCCTCAAGTAATCCACCCACCTCGGCCTCCCATCTAAATAAATAAATAAACCAACCCTGTGATAGAACTTGTTTAGAAAATTCAAGTCCAAAGCATGGGATGCAGACTAACCTCTAAGACAAAGGAAAATTCCAGTGCGTCATAGAGAAGCAACATCTGGAAATGTGTTTGGTTGCTCTGTTATATTCTGTTCCCCGATTTTTGGCAGGAATTAGAAATTAAACATAATGACTAGAAAAAAAATCAAGCCCTCCCTGAATTTGTCCACTAACAGTGGCACCTTAAATATCAAAACTGAATAGCTCTCATTTCAGGCGTGATGGCAGAGGCCTGTGCTTACAGAGAACTATCCTTTGCACTGTGAATGTCTTTACTGATGACAATTGTATTTATTCCTTCCTGTCCTTGCCACCGCGCTGGTGAGAGTTCTCCCTGTAGGTAGCACCCTCTTCATAACTTCAGACTCTTTATAAAGAGTATGTACTGCTGGGCTCTTTCATTCCGTTTTCTTTTTTTTTTTTTTCTTTTCTTTCTTTTTTTTTTTCTTTGAGACAGTTTCACTCTCTTGCCCAGGCTAGAGTGCAGTGGCACAAACTCGGCTCACTACAACCTCTGCCTCCCAAATTCAAGCAATTCTCCTGCTTTAGCCTCCTTTGCTGAGATTGCAGGTGTGTGCCGCTGTGCCCAGCTAATTTTCTTTTATTTTTATTTATTATTATTATTTTTTTTTTTGAGATGGAGTTTTGCTCTTGTTACCCAGGCTGGAGTGCAATGGCGCGATCTCGGCTCACTGCAACCTCTGCATCCTGGGTTCAAGCAATTCTCCTGCCTCAGCCTCCTGAGTAGCTGGGATTACAGGCACACGCCACCATGCCCGGCTAATTTTCTGTTTCTAGTAGAGACAGGGTTTCTCCATGTTGGTCAGGCTGGCCTCCAACTCCCGACCTCATGTGATCCACCTGCCTCGGCCCCCCAAAGTTCTGGGATTATAGGCGTGAGCCACTGTGCCCGGCCCCAGCTAATTATTTTGTATTTTTAGCAGAGACGGGGATGCTGGGATTACACACATGAGCCACTGCGCTGGGCTCCATTTTCTTCACGTCATTTAAAATAACAATTACACGTCTGTAATCCCAGCACTTTGGGAGGCCCAGGCAGAGGGCTCAGTTGAGCCCAGGAGTTGGAGACCAGCCTGGGTAACATGATGAAAACCCTGTGTCCACTAAAAATACAAAAGTTAACTGGGTGTGGTAGTGGCACACCTGTGGTCCCAGCTACTCTGGAGTCTGAGGTGGGAGAATCCCTAGAGCCTGGAAGTCAAGCTGTAGTGAGCTGTGTGAATCCAGAAAATCAGAGACACGTATCAGTTAGTTTAGAAAGTTTATTTTGGCCGGGCGCGGTGGCTCAAGCCTGTAATCCCAGCACTTTGGGAGGCCGAGGCGGGTGGATCACGAGGTCGAGAGATCGAGACCATCCTGGTCAACATGGTGAAACCCCGTCTCTACTAAAAGTGCAAAAAATTAGCTGGGCATGGTGGCACGTGCCTGTAATCCCAGCTACTCAGGAAGCTGAGGCAGGAGAATTGCCTGAGCCCAGGAGGAGGAGGTTGCGGTGAGCCGAGATTGCGCCATTGCACTCCAGCCTGGGTAACAAGAGCGAAACTCCGTCTCAAAAAAAAAAAAAAAAAAGAAAGTTTATTTTGCCCAGGTTGAGGACGCGCCCATGACACAGCCTCAAGAAGTCCTGCTGACATGTGCCCAAGGTGTTCAGGGCACAGCTTGGTTTTATACATTTGGGGAGACAAGATACATCAATCAGTATGTGTAAGAAGTACCTTGGTTCTGTCTGGAGAGGCGGGACAACTCGAAGCAAAGGCAGGGAGACTAGATATGGGGAGGGAGCTTCCAGGTCACAGACAGGTGAGGCACAGTTACGTTCTTTTGAGTATCTGATTAGCCTTTCCAAGGAGGCACATCAGATCTGCATCTATCTCTGTGAGCAGAGGAGTGACTTTGAATAAAATGGGAGGCAGGTTTGCCCCAAGCAGTTCCTAGCTTGAGTTTTCCTTAGTGATTTTGGGGGCCCAAGACAATTTTTTCATAGCCTGATTACTCCAGCCTGAGCTTGACGTATGTTAAATGAGTTGTCTTTCCATAAGTGGCTAATATGGTGCATGGTACATGGTAAGCTGTGTTAGCTCTTATTGCTAACTCTTGTATTTATTTTCTTTTGTTCTTTTTTTTTTTTTTTTTTTGAGACAGGTTCAAAAAACTCCCTACATTTTCTTTTAAAAACTCTCATTTCCAGGCTGGGCGTGGTGGCTCACATCTGTAATCTCAGCACTGGGCTGGCAGATCACCTGAGATCAGGAGTTTGAGACCAGCCTGGCCAACATGGTGGAACCCCATCTCCACTAAAAATACAAAAATCAGCTGGATGTGGTGGCTCATGCCTGTAATCCCAGCTACTCAGGAGGCTGAGGCAGGAGAATCGCTTGAACTTGGAAGGCGGAGGTTGCAGTAAGTCGAAATCATGTCATTGCATTCCAGCCTGGGTGAAGAGCAAAACTCTATGTCTCAAAAAAAAAAAAAAATCTCATTTCCCAGCTGTTCAGTAAAAACATCACTGATTAATGGGGTTCAATAATCAGTCAACTGATCAATCATCATTGATTGCATGGTGGTACCATCTCAGCTTACTGCAGCCTTGACCTCAGCGGGCTCAAGTGATCCTCCCACCTTAGCCTCCTGAGTAGCTGGGACCACAGACCTGCCACCTCCACATCTGGCTTATTTTTGGTTTTTTGTTTTTTTGTAGAGATGGGGTTTCACTGTGTTGCCCAGGTTGGTCTTGAATGCCTGGGTTCAAGTGATCCGCCGGCTTTGGCATCCCAATTGCTGGGACTACAAGCATGAGCCAACATGCCTGGCCTAATTTTTTTTTTTAATAGACTTTATTTATTTATTTATCTGAGATGGGGTCTCGCTCTGTTGCCCAGACTGGAGTACAGTGGCGCGATCTCGCCTCACTACAACCTCTGCCTCCTGGATTCAAGCAATTCTTCTGCCTCAGCCTCCAAAGTATCTGGAGTACAGGCACACACCACCACGCCTGGCTGATATTTGTATTTTTAGTAGAGATGGGGTTTCACCATGTTAGCCACGCTGGTCTTGAATTCCTAACCTCAGGTGATCTGCCTTCCTCGGCCTCCCAACGTGCTGGGATTACAGGTGTGAGCCACGGCGCCTGGCCAAAGTACCATTTTCATCAGGTATAGAGGGCGCATAGTATTCACATGATTTATCACTATCAGCGTTGACCTTGGTCCTCTGGCTGAAGCAGCGTTTGTCAGCTTTCTCCACTGTGAAGTTATTCTCTCAACCCTTTCTATACTGTGCTGTACCTGTTATAAGGAGACTAATTAAACTTTTCACACCCAAAATCTCAAAGAAAATTTCAGCATCCCAATGCAGCTTCCTTATGCCCCTTAAAATAGGTCTCAGGCAGAGACCTGTGTTCAGAGCCCTTCATTAAACTTGCCCAGGCCTGCCTCCCTACTCTGCATCTGGAGCCTGCATCTGTTTATGCCTCTGCTCATGTTGCCATTCATCTCCTTGGGAATGTCTCCTCCTTTCCTTTCCAGCCATCTCAATCCTGCTTGTCTTTGAAGGTCCAGCCAGAAAGTTTTCTTCCCCTGTGAATCATCCTGGAGTAATCGAATCCATTTCTAAATTCTAAATGGTATTTGTTACTGACATGTTCCACCCTGTCCCCCTTCCCCGTTATATCTGTGTGGTAAATGAATGCCTGTTTGCTATAGGCAAAAACTGGGTTTTGTTGTAATCATTCAGATTTGTCCCCACTTTTTTTTTTTTGACACAGAGTCTTGCTCTGTTGCCCAGGCTGGAGTGCAGTGGTGTGATCTCAGCTTACCCCGGGTTCAAGCAATTCTCCTGCCTCAGCCTCCCATGTAGCTGGGATTACAGGCATGTGCCACCATGCCTGGCTAATTTTTGTATTTTTAGTAGAGATGGGGTTTCACCATGTTGGCCAGGCTGGTCATGAACCCCTGACCTCAAGTGATCCACCTGCCTTGGCCTCCCAAAGTGCTGGGATTATAGGCATGAGCCACTGTGCTCAGCCCAGATTTGCCCCTTTGTTTAAGAGCTAACAGAAAACAGATTATGAATAATGTAACCAGTACCTATCATATAAAATAAATTTCTTCTGGAAAGGTAAATTTTAGGAATAGAAAACATACTAGGCTGGGTGCGGTGGCTCACACCTGTAATCCCAGCACTTTGGGAGGCTGAAGCGGGCAGATCACCTGAGGTCAGGAGTTCAAGACCAGCCTGACCAACATGGTGAAACCCTGTATCTACTAAAAATAAAAAATTAGCTGGCTGTGGTGGTGCATGCCTGTAATCCCAGCTACCTGGGTGACTGAGGCAGGAGACTCACTTGAACCCGAGAGGCAGAGTTTGCAGTGAGCCGAGATCACATCATTGCACTCCACCCTGGGCGACGAGCGAAACTCTGTCTCAAAAGAAAATGGAAAACACATATTAGACTAGATGTGATGGCTTATGCCTGCAGTCTCAGCACTTTGGGAGGCTGAGGTGAGCAGATTGCTTGAGGCCAGGAGTTGGAGACCAGCCTGGCCAACATGACGAAACCCTCTTTCTACAATACAAAAATTAGCTGGGCTTGGTGATATACACCTGTGGTCCCAGCTACTTGGGAGGCTGAGGTATGAGAACCGCTTGAACCTGGGAAGTGGAGGTTTTAGTGAGCTGAGATTGCACCATTATACTCCAGCCTGGGTGACAGAATGATGCTCTGTCTCAAAAAAACAAAAAAAAAAAAAAAAAAAAGAAAATACTTAATTAATCACTGACTCCCAGTTGAGTTCTGCTTTTCTGTGTCTTATCACAAGTCCAAATACAGCTGCTTCAGCAGATTTTTGTTTGATGAGAAACCACTACAGTGAGAAGAGCATAGGTGGGGGACACATGATAGGGTCAGAGGCCAGGTCCCGGGTCCCTAAGATGACCCAGGGGATGCAGAGGAATGGACCCTTTCTGGTGGCTCTGCCCCATGAAGTGGATGTTATACCTTGGCTTAGATTCCAGGATGAACTAAATACGCAAGAGGAGAGCTTTCTGGTCCAAACCAGACTGTCTGGCAGAAAGGATTTAAGAATTACCTAAAATTCTCTCATTCCAGCCAGCTCCCTTCTCTGGCCAGACTGAGCTCGTGTGGGAGATGTCAGTTCTGAAATGTTCTTCTTTTTGCTTAGGTTTGCTGGTTGACTCCTGAGCAGACAGCAGGAAAGAAGAAGCCCTTTGTGTACACCCAGGGCCAGGCTGTCCTAAACCGGGCCTTCTTCCCTTGCTTCGACACTCCTGCCGTTAAATACAAATATTCAGCTCTTATTGAGGTAAGGAGACTAAGATTAGGTGCACCCACCCCTGGGCATAAGAAATAATTTCAGCTCTATCAATCAGGTCACATTTCAGTGGTAAATAATTATATCCCTTCAGTGGTATTTCTGAAAAATGGCTTATTTTTAAATTCTTGCACCTGCTGAAATTGTATGTAGCCCTCCTCGAAATTCCATCAGTTAAGCACAGATTTAGTTTCTTGAAACCTTGTGTTCTCCAAGATAGACTCTGGGCATTATCATCACACACATGTGGCTGGTCATGCTATTACTCAAACTAATCAAAAGGAGATTCCCTCCAGGTAAAATCTCCTAAGCTTTCTCTGTTGTCAGGTCCCAGATGGCTTCACAGCTGTGATGAGTGCTAGCACCTGGGAGAAGAGAGGTCCAAATAAGTTCTTCTTCCAGATGTGTCAGCCCATCCCCTCCTATCTGATAGCTTTGGCCATCGGAGATCTGGTTTCGGCTGAAGTTGGACCCAGGTAGGAGACAAAGACCCGACAGGCAAGGTTGGATTGACCTCAGAGGCGAGGAGGACTCTGACCAGTGGACCCACTGGGGTGGTTCTTGGGCAGTCTTGGATCCTCTCTCGGAGTCCAGAGCCTTTCTGCAGCTGAGAAGCATGCAGCGTGAACACAGCTGGAGGAAGTGCTGTTTTCTCCCTGCCTTTCTCACTCCCTGTCTCCAGTTGTAATCCTGCTTCCTGGAATGACGTCATCAGCCCTTCTAGCAGTAGCACTGCCCTGGGCTGCCTTGCCTGGGACAAGGATGTTGTCCATGGATGTTGGAATGTAGGCTGGAGTTTTTTGTTTTTTTGTTTTTTTTTTTTTGACATGGAGTCTCGCCGTGTTGCCCAGGCTGGACTGGAGTGCAGTGGCGTGATCTCAGCTCACTGCAAGCTCCACCTCCTGGGTTCAAGCGATTCTCCTGCCTCAGCCTCTTGAGTAACTGGGATTACAGGCATGCACCACACACTCAGCTAATTTTGGTACTTTTAGTAGAGATGGGGTTTCACCATGATGGCCAGGCTGCTCTCGAACTCTTGACCTGAGGTGATTCACCCGCCTCAGCCTCCCAAAGTGCTGGGATTACAAGTGTGAGTCACTGTACCCAACCTGGGAAATGGATCTTTATTAATATATTTAAGTTCTAAATGCCCTTCTAGCAACTATATTTACTTTCCTATCTTTGTACCAAATCTCCCCATTTTCTCTAGCACTTAATTCCTGGAAATATATAACTTTGGTGTCATTATTTCCTTCTAAGAGGGAAGCGTCCACAGCAGATGCATGAGTCTAAGCCTGTGGTGACAGCATTGCCTCCATGAAGTCAGATGGATCTTGTCAGGATCTTGTCAAGATAAAAAGGGATTTTGTAAGGTTATCTGAGAAAAGGGGTTTGACCAGGAGCACAAGTTTTTCCTGGCTCTCATATTTTCTGCCACCCTAGCTTGGCCCCGACGTGGGAGCATCAAAGGCTGGACAGTGAAACCGTGACCTTTTCCTGGCGCTGTTGCTGTTCTTTATCTCTGGCCCTGCTCCCAGCTCTGGAGGCATTGGTGTCCCTGACAAGATGAGTTACAAGCCTCAGACTTCATAACTTGGCTCAGTGGCGCTTGCTGGGATCATGAGTCTTGGTTTCTGGTTGTCAGATGGAATAATAGATGGGATTCCGTTGGCATCACCTCCCACTGCACACACTCAAAACATACCAATCTGGAAAGACAAAGTGCCCTCCTCTCACGAAGGGCTGTCTTTCTAATAGGCAGGGTAGGGAATAACCAAAGGATGTCATCTTTGTAATAGACAAGCAGATAGATAAGTAAAGGAATGTCGTTTTCAAGAATATCCTTACTAAGGTTCTATTTGTAACAGTTAATGGGAAATGAGAGAAAAATAGATTCTAAAGATATTGAATGGTAGAGTTTTTCTGTACTCCTGTAATAAAATGACATCATTGTATATCGAACCAGGTGACAGAATCCACTTAGCTGGTGGTAAAGACTTACTCCTTCCCTGATTAGATGGATAGTCGTTGTCTTCTGGATCACATCTTAGGGTGTTGTGGGGGTTTATTAAATGGGAGGGTCTTTTGACAAGGTTTGCCACCTATCCCAGTCCCTGTTACTGCAGGAAGAAAATCCTGGGCCAAGGGGAGTTATGACTATATCCCAGTAGGCCCTTTGATGTATAATCTTGTCTAATCCTTACACAGACTCAGTGAGGATGATACTTTCTACATTTTAAAAATAAGCAAACCGAGGCTGTGCTGAATGGCCTTGGTTTGCTTGTTTTTGCAGGACCATTAGTTGGCAAAGCTGCGATTAAAATACAGGTATTTCCATTGCAAACCTAGTGCCCTTTGCACTATACTCCTGATGATGAGATTGCGGCTTGACTGAGAGTGTCCTCATTTATTGATTTTTATTTTTATATTTATTTTTATTTTTTGAGACTGAGTTTTGCTCTTGTTGCCCAGGCTGGATTGCAATGGCATGATCTCAGCTCACTGCAACCTCTGCCTCTCAGGTTCAAGCGATTCTCCTGCCTTGGCCTCCCGAATAGCCGAGATTACAGGCACCCACCACAATGCCAGGCTAGTGTTTTGTATTTTTTAGTAGAGAAGGGGTTTTACCATGTTGGTCATGTTGGTCTCGAACTCCTGACCTCAGGTGATCCACCTGTCTCAGCCTCCCAAAGTACTGGGATTACAGGTATAAGCCACCGCGCCCAGCCGCATTCTCATTTATTTTGACGGAAATGTGTGTCCTGGCGGAGGTATCTTGGATGACCCAGGCTAGCCTGTTTTAACCCTTCTACTTTGTAGTAAGCGGAAGTCCACTGGGCTGAAGGACTGTGGTAATTTTGAAATCCAAGGTGGTGGTAGAACAGTTCACAAAGTAATTCCTTGAAGACACTGACTGCTGTCCCATGGTCTTTTTCTGTCTGGTGTCTTGTCGCATCATCTTTGGTGACTTTTCCCTTCTGTCTAATACCTAGGGTTAAGGGTGGCTACAGGGTTCTTTCTTCCCCTTCCTTCCTTCCTTTCTTCCTTCCTTTCTTCCTCCCTCCCTCCCTCCCCCCTCCCCTCCTCGTCCCTCCCCTCCCCTCCCCTCCCCTCCCCTCCCCTCCTTTCCTTTCCTTCCTTCCCTCCTTCCCTCCCTCTCTTTGTTTTCTTTTCTTTCTTCCCTTTCCTTTCTTGTCTGGCTGGAGTGCAAGTGTCAAAACAACAGCTCATTGCAACCTCAAGCTACTGGGTTCAAGCAGTTCTCCCACTTCAGTTTCCAGAGGAGCTGGGACCACAGGTGCATACCCCCATGCCCAGCTAATTTTGTTTATTTTTTGCAGAAACAAGGTCTTGCTTTGTTGCCCAGGCTGATCTTGAACTCCTGGACTCACAAGAACCTTCCCCCTCAGCTTCCCAAATTGTTGGGATTACAGGAATAAGCCACTGCACCAACCTTCAGGGTTTCTTGACCTCTACTCAAGGAGCCTTCTCCACTCTGTCAGCCACCCACATTCACAGCCATGCTCTGGAGTCTAGGGACTAGACATAGTCATTGTCATGAACTGTACCATATCTGAACTTTTAAGCACCGTATCCTCGTTCATTCTGACTCGCTAACCTTCCAGCTCTCTGATGGCCTCCCTCCCACTAGATCCCACCGTGTCTCCCCCTTGAACATATGGCAGCCTCCCTTCTGGAAAGCCATTCATTTCTCCTGGGCGGTCAGGTCCCTCCTGGCCGGGCTTCTCTCCCTGCCCAAGTATGTGGCTGATTACCTCTCACCAACACCCCAGACCCCCTTGCCCACTGTCCCGCTGCTATAATGTCCCAGTCCCTTGTTATACAATTCCTTTTCTCTACTTCTTTGAGTGGGTATTTGGGAGACGTAGAAAATAATGAGACTGCACTGTAATATCGCTATATATACCTTCTCATTTCTTCCTGAAACAGTCATACCACTGTACATACCCTTCTTATTTCTTCCTGAAACAGTCATACCGCTATACATACCCTTCTCTTTCTTCCTGAAAACTTGGAATTAAAGAAAAGTCGAAATAGACATTTGTGGGGTTTTCAAGAAAAGTGTAACAGATGTACAGTCTTCAGCAGCCAACGTGCTTTCGAGGTTGTTCAACAGTCCTTTTATTTATCTTTCCATCTCACTTCCTTTAAGCAATTCTAAGGCTCTACTCTTCTCTTCAAGTTTCTATCCAAATCCCGTCCCCTCACTTAAGCAGATGGTCTTGTCTCCTGCTTTACTGAGAATATTAAATTCATCAGATATGATTATGTCAGTTTCTTGTCCTCCATTTAAAAAGTCATTTCATCTGCTTTTACCCTTCCAGACTCTGACGAAGGTCCTTCCTTCTGTTGAAAGCCAAATCTCTTCCTTCCACATGCCCTCTGGGACTCCGCCTCATCATTTACCTCTTTTTTCAAATCTCCAGCCTCCCCCTCTAGACAAGTGCCAGTTTCTCTTAGATCTATAGCAAAGCAAAAAACAAACTCAAGGCTGGGTGCGGTGGCTCACGCCTGTAATCCCAGCACTTTGGGAGGTCGAGGTGGGTGGATCACCTGAGGTCAGGAGTTTGAGACCAGTCTAGCCAAAGTGGTAAAACCCCAACTGCACTAAAAATGCAAAAGTCATCCAGGCCCTGGTGGCGCATGCCTGTAATTCCAGCTACTTGGGAGGCCGAAACACAAGAATCACTTGAACTTGGGAGGTGGAGGTTGCAGTGAACCAAGACTGAACTACTACACTCCTGCCTTGCCGACAAAGTGAGACTCCACCTCAAAAACAAAACAAACTCAAAAAACCCTTGAGCGTATATTCTCTTCTGGCAAAAAACACTATCGTTTCCTCTGTATCCAGGTAGCTTGAGTGGCATGTATACTCACTGGCTGCACTTCTTGAAAACTCCCCCACCCCACAGTCATTTATTGCTACAACCTGTTGGAATCCAGGTCCCACCCCTGTCATGCCTTTGAAACTCTGTAGTAACAGAGGCCATTCGCCTCAGCACAGATGACACATGGGATGCTTTTTAGACCTCATCTTCAGGGTTCTGCTATTTTTCTTCTTCCCTGTTGGCCCTCTGGCTTCTGTGGCACCACCATGCCGGTCATAGGGCCTCCTGGTTAATCCTTTCTGGTCTCCTTCCTGGACTTCCCTGCCCAGCTCCTTGTGTGTCGGTGTTACCCCAAGCTTCTGTCCTTGACCCGTTCTTTTATCCTGCGTGCTTTTCTTGGAGAAGGTCACCCATTCTTGTAGTTTAACATATTTTCTGTGTCCTGCAGTCAGAATGATCTCTTAAAACTAAGTCTGGCCGGGCGCGGTGGCTCAAGCCTGTAATCCCAGCACTTTGGGAGGCCGAGGCGGGTGGATCACGAGGTCAAGAGATCGAGACCATCCTGGTCAACATGGTGAAACCCCGTCTCTACTAAAAATACAGAAAATTAGCTGGGCATGGTGGTGTGTGCCTGTAATCCCAGCTACTCAGGAGGCTGAGGCAGGAGAATTGCCTGAACCCAGGGGGCGGAGGTTGCGGTGAGCCGAGATCGCGCCATTGCACTCCAGCCTGGGCAACAAGAGCGAAACTCCGTCTCAAAAACAAAAACAAAAAAAAAAAAAACTAAGTCTGATCATGTCACTTGGCTTAAAATGCTCCTATGGCTCTGAAGGTCCAGTTCTAGTTTTTGTTTGTTTGTTTTTTGAGACAGAGTCTCGCTCTGTCATCAGGCTGGAGTGCAGTGGCGTGATCTTGGCTCACTGCAACCTCTGCCTCGCGGGTTCAAGTGATTCTCCTGCCTCAGCCTCTCGAGTACCTGGGATTACAGGCGTGTACCACCATGCCCTGCTAATTTTTTTTTTTTTTAAACTAAGAACGGGGTTTCACCATGTTGGCCAGGATGGTCTCAATCTCCCATCTTCAGGTCATCTGTCCCCCTCAGCCTCCCGAATTTTGGGGATTACAGACAGGAGCCGCCAGGCCTGGCCAGTCTCATTCATATGTCTGTGTGGGAAAGCAGCTCTATGGCCCAGCCAGGGGCTCTTGGCCAAGCAGAGCCTTTAGCTGCAGGAGCCCTGAGTCCACTGCATCTTTCCATTAGACTGGGTCTTGTTTTTGTTTTTGTTTCTTCCAAGTCACCTTTGTTTCCCTAACTTTTTATTACGAAAATTTCAAATATCTAGAAAATTGAAAGGATGATGCGTTGGTCACCTATAGAACTATCCACTTTGTCATATTAGTTCTGTTTATGAGTGGATTTGTTTCTGTTTTTGCTAGACCATTTAAAAGCAAGTATATGTGTGTGCCTCTCTGAAGAATAAAGGCATTCTCCCTTATAACCACAATCCCATTATTGTACTAAGGCAATTAACAAATTTCTCTTAACATTAATTGATTTAGGCTGGACGCAGTGGCTCACACCTGTAATCCCAGCGCTTTGAGAGCCTGAGGCAGGTGGATCACTTGAGCCCAAGAGTTTGAGACCAGCCAGGGCAACATGGCGAAACCCTGCCTCTACAAAAAATAAAAAAAAATTAGCCAGGCATGACGGCATGCACCTGTAGTCCTAGCTACTGGGGTGAGGGAGCTGAGGTCGAAGGGTCACTTGAGCCCCGGGTGGCAGAGGTTGGATCATGCCACTGTACTCCAGCCTGGGCAACAGAGCAAGATCCTGTCTTTATAAAAAAAAAAAAAAAAAGTTTTTCTCTTAAGGTTCTTTTCAATTCCAGATTCTATTATTAGAACCCTTTCTTCATCTCTTCTATAAGTAGGGAGAAGGAAACTAATTTACTGTATAAACCACTGTTAGAAGGGCTTTTGTAATGCTGTCTTATTTAATCTTCACTCATTTTACAGATGAGGAGACTGAGGCTCAGAGAAGTTAAATAACTTTTGCAAGATCGCATTCAGTAGAGAAGCTATAACCAGGTAGCACTGTGGGTTTAGATCCTGTTGTCTAAAAGAGGCAGCTTCCACCTCTGCGAGGCTGTCCTGGGTTCTTATTTCTCAGGGGTAGTGAGAGGTCTCTTGGATCTGTGTGGGTGATCTGTTCTTGCACCGCCTGTCACCGTGGTTGACTGCATTGTCACGTTCACTTGGCGGAGGCCGGTTTTCTCCAGATGCTTTCGGATCAGGTCTCTGCAGTGGTCTCTAATCACCATTACGCTTTCTTTGCTCTCCTGTCTCTAGGAGCCGGGTATGGGCCGAGCCCTGCCTAATTGATGATGCCAAGAAGGAGTACGACGGGGTGATAGAAGAATTTTTGGCAACAGGAGAGAAGCTTTTTGGACCTTATGTTTGGGGAAGGTGTGGTATTGCATTGACTCTAATGTCTCCAGTTAAGCTGAGTCCCTGGTTCCCATTCTACCTCCTGCTGTGGAGTCTCCTCCTTCTGCCTCCCAGAGCAAAGTTTCCCTGATCCCAGAAGTGAAGGAGAGGAGGACGTGAGCCAGGCTTCTCACTGTTGCTGAACAGAGGACCTAGGAGACGGGGCCCTTTCATTTTCTTGAGACAGGAGTCTTGCTCTGTCGCCCAGGCTGGAGTGTAGTGGCACGATCTCCACCTCCCAAGTTCAAGTGATTCTCCTACCTGAGCCTCCAGAGTATGTTGGATTACAGACGCCTGCCACTACACCCAGCTAATTTTTTTTTTTTTTTTTTTTTTTGAAAGAGTCTTACTCTGTTGCCCAAGCTGGAGTGTAGTGGCACGATCTCAGCTCACTGAAACCTGTGCCTACGGGGTTTAAGCGATTCTCCTGCCTTAGCCTCCCCAGTAGCTGGGACTACAGGTGTGAGCCACCAAGCCTGGCTACTTTTTTTTTTTTTTTTGGTGGGGGGAGGGGTTTGACACTGAATTTTGCTCTTTTGCCCAGGTTGGGGTGCAATGGTGCGATTTTGGCTCAATGCAACCTCCGCCTCCCGGGTTCAAGAGATTCTTCTGCCTCAGGCTCCCGAGTAGCTGAAATTACAGCTATCCACCACCATACCCAGCTAATTTTTTTGTATTTTTAGTAGAGACAGGGTTTCAACATGTTGGCCAGACTGGTCTCGAACTCCTGACCTTAAGAGATCTGCCTACCTCAGCCTCCCAAAATGCTGGGATTACAGGCATGAGCCACCGAGCCCAGCCAATTTTTTTGTATTTTTAATAGAGACGGGGTTTCATCATGTTAGCCAGGATGGTCTCGATCTCCTGATGTGATCCGCCTGCCTTGGCCTCCCAAAGTGCTGGGATTACAAGTGTGAGCCACTGTGCCCGGACTAATTTTTTTTTTTTAAGTAGAGACGGGGCTTCACCATGTTGGCCAGGCTGGTCTTGAACTCCTGACCTCAGGTGATCACCCACCTCTGCCTCCCAAAGTGCTGGAATTATAGGTGTGAGCAACCGTGCCCAGACGAAAAGAGGTTCTTGAGGTGATCAAAATGTGCCCTGCAGTTGCCAAGTTTGAGATGAGGCAGCACCTTCAAGGGCCGTTGTTAACCTGTGTTTTCCCATTGCTGGAAGTTTCCCCACACTCCATTTTTAACTTTGACATCTTCAGACTTAGGCTCCTTAGATAAAAGGCTCCATGTTGGTCTTTATGACGCCAGGTTGGCCGCCAGGGAACTCCTTGTGACGAAGCTGAGAGTATACTTACCACCTCCACACCTGCTTGGAAGGAGAGAGGGAAACAAGTGCCTGGCAAGTGAGCTCTGGGACAGCAGACACCACCTGGACGAGGGAAGTCCCAGGAAGGCAGGGCAGCCACGTGGGAGAAGCGCGGAGGAGCCTGGGCTGTATTTTCCACACTGGGCCTGAGATTGTCCTCTGCCTGTTTAGTGACTGCATCTCTTAGGGCTTGGAAATAGGCTGGAAAGCCATTGGTCAGGGAAGTGAGGTAGGGTCTGGTCCGGGAAGCCCGGGCCTCTCGGTGACCTCCCCGCTCCTTGGCAGGTATGACTTGCTCTTCATGCCACCGTCCTTTCCATTTGGAGGAATGGAGAACCCTTGTCTGACCTTCGTCACCCCCTGCCTGCTAGCTGGGGACCGCTCCTTGGCAGATGTCATCATCCACGAGATCTCCCACAGTTGGTTTGGGAACCTGGTCACCAATGCCAACTGGGGTGAATTCTGGCTCAATGAAGGTTTCACCATGTACGCCCAGAGGAGGATCTCCACCATCCTCTTTGGTAAAGTGCCCACCTCTCTCCTAGGGACTCCGCCTCCCATTCTTAACCTGTGGGGCCAGTGTGATCTCCTTACGGGATTTCAGAACACAAGTGGGAGTGAAGAGACGAGGCAGTACTGTATTCTTTCCAACATTTTCCTGTGTGTATGAATGGTCAAACCATAACCGATGTTTTTAAAACGTTTCCCCAGGTCATTAGATTTTCTTCTGTAGCTGCGTATATGGATGTTTCATAATTTACTGGTTGTATACAATTTCCCATTAAAATATATTGGCAAACTTCTTTACATATAGATGTCTATTTATATCAGATTATTTCAGTAAGGTTAAATTCTTAGAAACATGATTTCTGGATCAGAACTTTTTTTTTTTTTGAGACAGAGTCTCATTCTGTTGCCCAGGCTGGAATGCTGTGTTGCAATCTCAGCTCAAGCAATTCTCCTGCCTCAGCTCCCCTGCATCCCACCCCTTGTAGCTGGGATTACAGGCGTGCACCATCACACCTGGCTAATGTTTGTATTTTTAGTAGAGAAAGGATTTTGCTATGTTGGCCGGTCTGGTCTCGAACTCCTGGCCTTAAGTGACCTGCCTGCCTAAACTCCCAAAGTGCTGAGACAATAGGTGAGAGGCTCTGCACCTGGCCCTGAACAGTTAAAATTACTTAGTCTTTTTAGTACATATTGTCCACTGCTTTCCAGAAAGTTTGTACAAATCTATACTTTCATTCAGAATATATATAGCAAGAGCTATTTGTGAACATTTTAATCAGCCATTAGGAATCCTGCAAACAATTTTTTTAATTTTTAATTTTTTAATTTTTTTAATTTTTTTTTTTTTTTGAGACGGAGTTTCGCTCTTGTTACCCAGGCTGGAGTGCAATGGCACGATCTCGGCTCACCGCAACCTCCGCCTCCTGGGTTCAGGCAATTCTCCTGCCTCAGCCTCCTGAGTAGCTGGGATTACAGGCATGCACTACCATGCCCAGCTAATTTTTTGTATTTTTAGTAGAGACAGGGTTTCACCATGTTGACCAGGATGGTCTCAATCTCTTGACGTCGTGATCCACCTGCCTCGGCCTCCCAAAGTGCTGGGATTACAGGCTTGAGCCACCGCACCCGGCCTCAATTTTTTTTTATTTTTTATTTTTATTGTTTTTATTTTTTTAGGAGTCTCGCTCTGTCGCCAGGCTGGAGTGTAGTGGTGCTATCTTGGCTCACTGCAATCTCCACCTTCCGGGTTCAAGCAATTTCCCCTGTCTCAGCCTACCAAGTAGCTGGGACTACAGGCACATGCCACCACACCCAGCTAATTTTTGTATTTTTAGTAGAGACAGGTTTTCACCATGTTGGCCAGGATGGTCTCGATCTCTTGACCTCGTGATCCACCCGCCTCGGCCTCCCAAAATGCTGGGATTACAGGCGTGAGCCACTGCGCCCGGCCTCCAAGCAAATATTTTTTCCTATTGTACAGTTGAAGAAACTGAGGCTGAGAGAGGCTGAGTCACTTGCTCAGAGTCAGAACATCTAGGAAGGGGCAGAGTTGGCTGGTCTAAAAACCCTGTCCCCCTCCCCTTCACTCTTCTCTCAGTCCTTGTTTTTAATGCAGAGGAAGACTTAGAGATCCTTAAAAATTTGGGGGTGATAATTTTTTTTTTATTTGACAGAAACAGTCATGAAAATAATTGTGACTTTCATAGAAGATCAAATTATTGCTGGGGGCAGTGGCCCACTCCTGTAATCCTAGCATTTTGGGAGGCTGACGCAGGTGGATCACCTGAGGTCAGGAGTTTGAGACCAGCCTGACCATATGGTAAAACCCCATCTCTACTTAAAATACAAAAATTAGGCCGGGCGCGGTGGCTCAAGCCTGTAATCCCAGCACTTTGGGAAGCCGAGGTGGGTGGATCACGAGGTCAAGAGATCGAGACCATCCTGGTCAACATGGTGAAACCCCATCTCTACTAAAAATGCAAAAAATTAGCTGGGCATGGTGGCGCGTGCCTATAATCCCAGCTACTCAGGAGGCTGAGGCAGGAGTATTGCCTGAACCCAGGAGGCGGAGGTTGCGGTGAGCCGAGATCGTGCCATTGCACTCCAGGCTGGGTAACAAGAGCGAAACTCCGTCTCAAAAAAAAAAAAAAAAAAAAAATTAGCCAGGCATCGTGGTGTGCACCTGTAGTCCCAGCTACTCAGGAAGCTGAGATAGGAGAATTGCTTGAGTTGGGGAGGGAGGCAGAGGTTGCAGTGAGCTGAGATCATACCACTGCACTCCAGCCTAGGCAACAGAGCAAGACTCTGTCTCAAAAAAAACAAAGAAGAATATTAAATCATTATCTAAAAATATGGCTGAGCGTGTTGGCTCACACCTGTAATCCCAGTACTCTGGGATACAGGTGGAAGCTGAGGCGGGCAGATTACCTGAGGTCAGGAGTTTCAGACCAGCCTGGCCAACATGGTGAAACCCGCTCTCTACTGAAAATACAAAAATTAGCCAGGCGTGGTGGTTCACACCTGTAATCCCAGGTACTTACTTGGGAGGCTGAGGCAGGAGAATCTCTTGAACCTAGGAGGAGGCAGGGGTTGCAGTGAGCTGAGATCGTGCCATTGCACTCCAGCCTGGGTGATAGAGTGAGACTCTCTCAAAAAATAAAATAATAAAATAAAAATATAGTACTTTGATAAGCAAAGGTAACTATTAGGTGTGATTCCCCCAGTCCTCACTTAGGAGAGAGGCCAACAGCCTGAAATAACCAAGTCCTTTGTAACCCAGAGCAACAGGGAGCTAGGGACTAAGTCAGGCTTTCTGTAACTGTCCCTTTTGCCCCGGGTCCCCAGGAGGGTAATATTATTAACCTTCAGGTATCTATCGCTGTTCTTCTTGAGGCCACAAGGAGGCAGCACAGGAAAATACACTTGGATGTGGTGACAGACTTTCCTGGGGCTTATGTTTGATTTTGTACCAGGCGCTGCATACACCTGCTTGGAGGCTGCAACGGGGCGGGCTTTGCTGCGTCAGCACATGGACATCACTGGAGAGGACAACCCACTCAACAAGCTCCGTGTGAAGATTGAACCAGGTCCAGGAGGCTCCTCTGTCTGACACCCACTCCCCTCAGTTGAGCTTGGAGCCCCAAGTTAATTTGAGCTTCATGTTGATCAGTGCACACTTAGAATACCTTCTTCAGAGGGAGGAGTGCTCCAGAGCTCTTTCTAGCCAATTCTCTGGTCACTAGGCTGACTGAACCCAAGCCGTTGCAGCCAGATAGGAGTTCTGTCCAGTTCTGTGCGGTTCGTAATGACTTTACCATTGCTTTGTGTTTGTATAAGTCCATATCATTTTACCAGGCCTTTGAAACCAATCCTTCATCGTCATCAGGGCAGACCTGTGGGTTTTGTAGAGTAAAAGCATTACCGGCCGGGCGCGGTGGCTCAAGCCTGTAATCCCAGCACTTTGGGAGGCCGAGGCGGGTGGATCCGAGGTTGAGAGATCGAGACCATCCTGGTCAGCATGGTGAAACCCCGTCTCTACTAAAAATACAAAAAACTAGCTGGGCATGGTGGCGCGTGCCTGTAATCCCAGCTACTCAGGAGGCTGAGGCAGGAGAATTGCCTGAACCCAGGAGGCGGAGGTTGCGGTGAGCCGAGATCGCGCCATTGCACTCCAGCCTGGGTAACAAGAGCAAAACTCCGTCTCAAAAACAAAAAAAAAAAAACAAAAAAAACAAAACAAAACAAAAAGCATTACCCTTATTTTGCAGAGGACAGGTCTGAGTGCCAGACAAATTAAATGTCTTGCCCAGGTCATGTATCTAACCAGGGCATGACTACAGCTGAGATCCAGGCCCTCTCTCCAAGTTCAGAGCTTTTTACTTCCTAACATTTTCCTTCATTCCATGTGTGACGAATCTGAAACCTTTTTATGCAATTGAAGCTCATGTTCCTTGATGCTGTTAAGTGTGCAGATGGATTTCTTGGAGACTGGTAATTAGTTTTAGCCCGGAACAGTTGTAAAGACAACACAGTGGCTGCGTGCGGTGGCTCACACCTGTAATCCCAGCACTTTGGGAGGCTGCGGTGGGCGGATCATGGTTTGAGACCAGCCTAGCCACTAACATGGTGAAACCTGTCTCTACTAAAACTAACCAAATTAGCTGGGTGTGGTGGCATGCACCTGTAATCCCAGCTACTGGAGAGGCTAAAGCAGGAGAATCGCTTGAACCCAAGAGGCAGAGGTTGCAGTGAGCCGAGATCATGCCACTGCATTCCAGCCTGGGTGACAGAGCGAGACTCTTGTCTCAAACAAACAAACAAAAAAACCCACAATTGATCTGGGAGGGGAGGTTTGAGTGTTTAGGTGGTGACCAGTAGGGCTGGAAGTGACACATAGCCTAGTGCTCAGTGGGAAAAGTTGATGGAAACTACCCACACAAAGCGTATCCTGGGACTAAGGAAATGTGGCCGTTCCTCCGGAAAGCTGGTTTCTTTGTCCTCGTATTAGATCCACAGTGAGTGCCCTTCTGAGATCTTCTTGGAAGCACCTTGAGAGAAGCCAAGCTCTGGAGAGAGAGATCTTGGCCTTGAGAGGGGCCAGGATCTGGACACCTTCTTGGCCTTGTTGCTGGGGAAGCTGAATTCTGATCTCTTCCATTGCTAGTCTTTGACTTGAGCTGGAGAAGAATGTTAAGGGTGACAGGCTACAAAAGCTCAAATCTGTCTGCTTTCTCCTCTGCCAGGCGTTGACCCGGACGACACCTATAATGAGACTCCCTACGAGAAAGGTTTCTGCTTTGTCTCATACCTGGCCCACTTGGTGGGTGATCAGGATCAGTTTGACAATTTTCTCAAGGTACAGTCACATGAGGGGAGAAGGAAGAAGAGCGGATAAGCCACTGGGCCAGAGCAAGGGTAGAGGCAGGGGGCGAAAGAGGTAAGGGGTTGGAGGAGGACCCAGGACACAGAGGGACTCCACTCCCCACAGGGCCAGAGAGGGTCTGAAGAGTCTTCCCTCCTCACAGGCCTATGTCCATGAATTCAAATTCCAAAGCATCTTAGCCGATGATTTTCTGGACTTCTACTTGGAATATTTCCCTGAGCTTAAGAAAAAGAGAGTGGATACCATTCCAGGTAAGCAGAGAAACTGGCCCACAGGCTTCTTTAAAATAGTGGAGAATATCTATTTTTTTTTTTTTTTTTTAAGACGGGGTTTCACCATGTTGGTCAGGCTGGTCTTGAACTCCTGACTTCCGGTGATCCGCCCGCCTTGGCCTCCCAAGTGCTTGGATTACAGGTGTGAGCCACTACGTCCGGCTAAGAATATCTAATTTACACTCAGAAAGATGGTGGTAGATGGGAAAACAGTAGAGTCGGCCAGGTAGGGGCACACTGGGGAGCAAACCCAGAATCCTGGGATTTATTTCACAAAAATGACTTCTTTTGGCTCCTCTCTGCCTCATTTTCTCCCAGTCTGTTTCCTTACTCTCTCCTCTGGTTTTCCTCCCACCCGGACACACATAGACCCTGAACTCGCCCGGAGAGCTGCTGCTGCCGCACCACTGCCCCAGGCCAAAACTCACATGGCAGGAGGGGTGGCAGCAGTCCCTCCTTCGGCCTTCTGAGTGAAGGCAACCCCGGTGGCTGTCCTGATTTCTGCCTGGGAGGTACCGCTTCCAAAGAAAGGACAAAAGATGTCCTGTCGCCGGGCGCGGTGGCTCAAGCCTGTAATCCCAGCACTTTGGGAGGCCGAGGCGGGTGGATCATGAGGCCAAGAGATCGAGACCATCCTGGTCAACATGGTGAAACCCCGTCTCTACTGAAAATACAAAAAATTAGCTGGGCATGGTGGCGCATGCCTGTAATCCCAGCTACTCAGGAGGCTGAGGCAGGAGAATTGCCTGAACCCACGAGGCGGAGGTTGCGGTCAACCGAGATTGCGCCATTGCACTCCAGCCTGGGTAACAAGAGCGAAACTCCGTCTCAAAAAAAAAAAACAAAACTGTAATCCCAGCACTGGGAAGCTGAGGTGGGCTGATCACAGGGTCAAGAGATTGAGATCATCCTGGCCAACATGGTGAAACCCCATCTCTACTAAAAATACAAAAGTTAGCTGGGCATGGTGTCATGTGCCTATAGTCCCAGCTACTCAGGAGGCTGAGGCAGGAGAATTGCTTGAACCCAGGAGGTGGAGGCTGCAGTGAGCTGAGATCCTGCCACTGCACTCTAACCTGATGCCTGGTGACAGAGCAAGACTCTTTCTCAGGAAAAGAAAAAGAGAATGTGCACTTGAATATAGCATCCGTCAACTTGGCTCTGACAACACAGTGCTAATTTGGAGCAAAAAGCACTTTTTCCCCCCAAAAAGCACTTACACTATAGAAACAGCATAATCTCTAGGATAACTAGGACCCTGTGGGAGCAAGTGATTATATGGGAAAGTAATGTTAAATGCTGGGAAAAGAGTTTGGGATGGAGAGGGGAGAAACTTGAGGCCTCTGGGAGTTGCCTGAACCAGCTGACCGTAACCTGGCCAAAGAATTCTGATAGTATCTTCTCTCCTTCTACCAAACAGGTTTTGAGTTTGATCGATGGCTCAGTACCCCTGGCTGGCCCCCTTACCTCCCTGATCTCTCTCCTGGGGACTCACTCATGAAACCTGCTGAAGAGCTAGCCCAGCTGTGGGCAGCGGAGGAGCTGGACGTGAAGGCTATTGAAGCCGTGGCCATCTCTCCCTGGAAGACCTACCAGCTGGTCTACTTCCTGGATAAGATCCTCCAGAAATCCCCTCTCCCTCCTGGTAAGAAAATATGGTGAGCCAAGACTCTGTGTGCAGAGCTTTATGTCAGGGGCTAGAGGGAGATTTATAAAAAGTAGTCTCCTGGCTGGGCACAGCGGCTCATGCCTGTAATCCCAGCACTTTGGGAGGCCGAGGTGGGCAGATCAGGAGGTCAGGAGTTCAAGACCAGCCTGGCCAACATGATGAAACCCCATCTCTACTGAAAATACAAAAATTAGCCTGGTGTGGTGGTGCACATCTGTAGTCCCTGCTACTCGGGAGGCTAGGGCAGGAGAATTGCTTGAATCTGGGAGGCGGAGGTTGCAGTGAGCCAAGATCCCTCTGCTGCACTCCAGCCTGGGTGACAGAGTGAGATTCCGTCTCAAAAAAAAGGCAAAACGTAATGATGTTTGCCCCTAGGGGACTGCCATATACAGTAGGGAGGGTGGAACTCCACAAAGAATGTGCCATCTGGAGGTTATAGGTTCTACTTACAAGTACCACAGGGACCAAGTAGTAAAGCCTGGCATTCCTCAAGTCTGAAGCTTCTGCAGGCGACTCTTGGAAGCCCTTCGTATCTATTAAGTCATTTAATTCTCACAACGCCTCTGGGAAGCAGGTGCTGTGATGTTAATGGCCAGGTAACAGAGAATGAACTTGAGGTACAAACAGGTCACGGAGAACCCAGTCATCCAAAGCTCTCAACCACATGCTTTGTGGCTGCTCAGTCAAAATAATATTCACCAGGGGGTGAAAGAGTTAGAGCCAAGATGACTTTTAGCAGGTGAGTGGTGGGAGGAAAAGTGGAACGGGATATTTTGGGGAAATGTGTCTGCTTTAATCTCGCCCTGTGGACCAGGCTGGAGTGCAGTGGTGCTGTTGGCTCACTGCGACCTCCCGCTTCTGAGTTCAAGTGATTCTTGATTCTAGCGCCTCAGCCTTCAAGTAGCTGGGATTACAGGCATGCACCACTACACCCCGTGAATTTTTTTTTTTTGGTATTTTTAGTAGAGACGGGGTTTCGCCATGTTGGCCAGGCTGGTCTCACACTCCTAACCTCAAGTGATCCACCCCCCTCAGCCTCCTGAAGTGCTGGGGTTACAGGCATGAGCCACCGTGCCCAGCCACAAACCATTTCTTTCTCTTCTCCAGGGAATGTGAAAAAACTTGGAGAGACATACCCAAATATCTCAAATGCCCGGAATGCAGAGCTGCGGCTACGATGGGGCCAAATTGTCCTTAAGAACGACCACCAGGAAGATTTCTGGAAAGTGAAGGAGTTCCTGCAGGACCAGGTGGGAGACCCCTGCCTAGCTGTTCCCGTGAGCACCCCGGGACCCACTCAGCCACACGCGCAGGAGTCACGTGGGCAGCGCTCATGGAGGACTCATCGGAGGCACTGAGGGAGGGGCAGTGACCTGAGGACCCTACGCCTCAGCCTCTTTACTAGTGTGGCTTTGGAGGCATTGCCCTAGGGACAAAAGGAGTCCTGCAGGCTTGCAGAGCTTTTTGCAGTTTAGCTGGTGAGACCCCAGGGAAAAAAGCTGCTCAGAGCCAGCCCACAGGTGGGAAAGAGGGTGACGGCATCTTGTGGGAAACTCAAGAGGGAACGGGGCCGGGGGATGAGCAAGAGGAGCGAAGGCTGGGAGGATAGGTCCCCTCTGCCCTGTGACTTGGGCACGGCTGGGAGCCCAACCAGACCCTCCATCACCATGTGAAAGTTGCCCTGGTGGGGAAGGGCCCAGGGCTCTCAGGATGAACTGAATGTCCTCAGATTCCGGAGCAGGGAGGGGGCTGGGCTGGATGGGAAGCAATGCTCAGATTCCCTGGTCTGCATGGAGTCAGGGCTTCGGGCCTCTTTGGGGATATTCTGAGCCCTCTCACGGCTTCCTCAAGGCTCCAGATTTTAGGAAGTTGTGATGTCGCTGGCTTACATTTGCGTGAGTTTGACCTGTGGGTTTTCCTTTGTTTGACTGCAGTTGGACCATCTGCAGCCACAAGCTTTAATGTGCTGCAGCCATCGATACCTGCTGTTCACTTGGTGGCTTACCACTTACGCCTTTCCAAAAGTCTGGAGTCCCATTGTGTCAACCCACCTCATTCGTTTTGTTGAGCATAGACATCCCCATGTTAGCATGGGTTGGGATGCATACTGAGATCCATCTCCATGGGTGTTTAGCCCCCAGGATGCCTGAATTAGAGCACTTGTGATGGAAAACTCCTCATTCAGCTGTGATACCCACGTCCCTTTTAGCACCTAGCCATGGCTGCTGTTAGACTGGGACTGGGGGCAGGAGGGCTGGACACACCCACCGGCAAGCTGCTTAGGCACGTGTGTTTCTTGCAGGGGAAGCAGAAGTACACACTTCCGCTGTACCATGCAATGATGGGTGGCAGCGAGGTGGCCCAGACCCTCGCCAAGGAGACCTTCGCATCCACCGCCTCCCAGCTCCACAGCAATGTTGTCAACTACGTCCAGCAGATCGTGGCACCCAAGCGCAGTTAGAAGCTCGTGTGCATGGCCCTGCCTCTTCTCTAGGCTTCCAGAATAATTGTTTGTTCCCAAATGCCAGTTCTCTGATCAACTTTCTGGAGTTTATATCCCTTTGGGATAATCTGTTCTCTAGGCTTAGGTATCTGTGGCTCTTGGGCCTCTGCTCTGGTGGGAACTTACTTCTCTAGGCCACTGAGCCCTGAGACAGAGAACCTGGCCACAGCTCTCCCCACTACAGGCTGCAGGCGCTGAGGGCAGGGGGCTTCCCCTCCCCTTCTAAGTCTCCAGGGAGGAGTGAAGAGGACTGATCTCCCCTTCCCTCCTTCCCTCCCTCCCTCCCTTCCTTCCTTCCTTCCTTTCCTCTCTTCCTCTCCCTGTTTCCTTTTTCTTGCTGATTTTATGCAAAGGGCTAGCATTCTCATCGCTCTTTTTTTCAGGTTTAATCCTTATTTTAATAAAGTTTTCAAGCAAAAAGTAAGAGTTACGGATTAAGTGACTATTAAATTTCTTTCACCGGGAGTCCTCACTGTGTTTGTTCAGGAAAGGTCACTGGGGGAGGCCCAGAGAATGACAGTGTTTCCCTGTCCTCAGGGAACAGCCAGGGCGAAGGAGGTGGGTGTCCCACACATGCATAGGAAAAAAATATATGGCAAAATGGCACAGCTGGTGCAGGAAAATGAAAAAGGAATAGCATTTCAGTTCTCCATGAAGCAGCTGAATTCTCTATCTACAGCAGCATTCCTATTTTCCATCACTGAAAAGAACAAACCGGCCAGGCATGTAGTGGGGAGATCCCGTAAGCACAGAGGCAGGAGGAAAAAGCCTCCACCTATTTCCATATAAATAATGAAGAAGAAAGTAACTAGAAATACAAGCGTCGTAATTATTACTTATTCATATGTGATCTTAATTCTTTTACTAATGCCTCTCAGGTGAACCTGGGGTGACATTGTGAAGTGAATGACACTCAGGCAAGATGCTCTAGGCCCTCTGTCACGCCCGCATAAGGGCTGCTGGAGGGCGCCCCGGCTGTGTGGCAGTGCCAGCGCTGGGAAAGCACCCGCGGTTTAGCTAGGGAAGGAGACGTCCAAAATAGCTGAGACGTCTCCTTCCCCGGAGGAGTGAGGAGAAAACTCCGCTTCTCCAAGCTCTTGCGGTAGGGCTGTCGGGCAGGCCCGCAGACATCCGCGGGCTTAACTGTCTCTATGTGACGCTGCGCTTCAGTGCTCATGTTCCATGTCCACTCTCATTTCTGCTTCTGCACCTGGTTCCTTTTTTCTTAGAAAAGATAATCAGTAATAGTAATAGAAATCTTAATGTTGTCATTCTTTCTTGATAAGTTTGGAAAAAGTACTGATATATTATGCTCCTTACCTCACTTTGGGTGCCAGAAGTAGCCGAGCCCCTACCTGAATAGCAGGTGACCTGCTTGACACTATCACTGCCACACCCTATCTACCCTGCCCCCAGTCTCTGGCCAAGACCACGCCCTACCCACCCTGCCCCCAGATTTGCAACTCAAGAAAAGTGAGAGCTTCCCGTCTTGGCTTTCAGGGCCACTGCTGGTCTCCTGCAATTTGGGTAGCAGAGGACGTCTGGGCCCAAATTCTCTTTTCTGTGTGTCTTGTGTCTTCTTTTTTTTTAATTATTATTATTATTTTTTTGAGACGGAGTTTCGCTCTTGTTACCCAGGCTGGAGTGCAATGGTGCGATCTCGGCTCACCGCAACCTCCGCCTCCTGGGTTCAGGCAATTCTCCTGCCTCAGCCTCCTGAGTAGCTGGGATTACAGGCACGCGCCACCATGCCCAGCTAATTTTTTGTATCTTTAGTAGAGACGGGCTTTCACCATGATGACCAGGATGGTCTCGATCTCCTGACCTCGTGATCCACCCGCCTCGGCCTCCCAAAGTGCTGGGATTACAGGCGTGAGCCACCGCGCCCGGCCTTGCAGTGAGTCTTGATTGTGCCACTGAACTCCAGCCTGAGTGACAGAGCGAGACACTATTTCAAAAATAAAAATTAGCCGGGCATGGTGGCTCAAGCCTGTAATCCCAGCACTTTGGGAGGCTGAGGCGGGTGGATCACGAGGTCAAGAGATCGAGACCATCCTGGTCAACATGGTGAAACCCCATCTCTACTAAAAATACAAAAAATTAGCTGGGCATGGTGGCGCGTGCCTGTAATCCCAGCTACTCAGGAGGCTGAGGCAGGAGAATTGCCTGAACCCAGGAGGTGGAGGTTGTGGTGAGCTGAGATCGTGCCATTGCACTCCAGCCTGGGTAACAAGAGTGAAACTCCGTCTCAAAAAATAAATAAATAAATAAATAAATAAATAAAATAAAAACTAAAAATGTCTGCAAGGCATTAGTGGTGACCAAGTGGTAGACTGGAGAAGCCTCTGCCCCATGGCACACTCGGCTCCACCCTCAGAGACGGTGATGTGGGTCACAGGAGAGGGATCTGGAGGCCCCGGATCGGAAGAGCTACTCCAGGCACTGGCATTTTGATAGCAAACTGCTTCTGTGGCTCTTTCAGGACTGTTCCTGGCAGTATGTTACCGGCAAGGACTATTTTAGGGCTATCCAGTTGCCTCCCCCTCTCCCCGACCTGTTACCTAGCTTATCAGTAGCTACGTTTCTTTGCTCTACAAAACCTATCGCACCAATAGGCCCAGTAATCAAGAAGGCTCATCGGAAGCCAAGGCTGGAAGCCCTTGTACAGCTGTTTTGTGACTCCGCTAACTTTGTGGGAACTCCCATTTCTTAGCATGAGCATCCTGAGCTGTGTAGCCTGCCTCACTTTGGCACCTGACAGGTCTACCAGATGTGCCTGTCCTTTTATAGGACATCCTTCCATCCCAAAGATGAGGCTGTGCTGCCATGTGCGCAAGCTCTGTAGGGAGAGGGGAGGCCATCGGGCTGTTCCTGCCACCTCAGAATACCAGGAAGGCCCTGGCGTCCTGCTCCGTAGCTCCCTAGAACACTATCCCAGAACCTTGTCCCCACCCGCATCCCATGCCTCCAAGGTACTGACCTCAAATCCAAGTATTTCCCACTTATCTCAAGGTGCTAGCCAATAGGGATTCCTTATCTCAGCTCCGTGTCACCCTTGAGGAAGCCCCAACAAGTCAAGGGAGCTGACAGCCCTCTCATTTTTCTCGTACATCCTCCCCTTCACCCCGCCATCCCCGGGAGCCCCAGCCAGGTGCTCTTCAGGGGAGGGAGCACGTGAGCAGCCCTGGGGCTAGAAGCCGGTTCTTCCACATTCCTGGGGGAGGGACTGGGTGGATGGAGGATGTGTCTGCCTCAGGCTCCCTGGGGGAGGCCCCCTGAAGGGCTGGGGAAAATCCTCTTGAGCCCCAGGCTCTCCGGCCTGCACTGGCCCGGGGATGGGGGGGTGGGGATCCTGGACTTTAACTCTCCTAGGCACCCAGGAGCTTCAGAGAGGAGGAAGGCAAGAAGCAGCTTCTCCGGCCATGACTTTCCTAGTCCTCTGGCTATAGAGTTAACGAAAGGAGTATCTCTGGAGGTGGAGTCACCTTTTGTTTGAGTAACTATTTCACCCACCCTGGCTGAGGGTGGCCAGGAACTCCCCAAGTTGTGGCATTAATGGAGGTGGGTCGCACAGATCCTACCTTTTTTTCTTTTTTTTGAGATGGAGTCTGACTCTGTCGCCAGGCGGGAGTTCAGTGGCGCAATCTTGGCCCACTGCAACCACCGTCTCCTGGGTTCAAGTGATTCTCCTGCCTCAGCCTTCAGAGTAGATGGGATTACATGCACGCGCCGCCACGCCCAGCTAATTTTTGTACTTTTATTAGAGATGGGGCTTCACCATGTTGTCCAGGCTGGCCTCAATTCCTGATCCGCCCTCCTCAGCCTCCCAAAGTGCTGGAATTACAGGTGTGAGCCACTGGATCCTACATTTTAGATACATAAAAAACTGGATCTGAAATTAACTGGGCATGGTGGCACATACCTGTAGTCCCAGCTACTCGGGAGGCTGAGGCAGAATTGCTTGTACTTGGGAGGCAGAGGTTGCAATGAGCCAAGATCATGCCACTGCACTCCAGCCTGGGTGAAAGAGTGAGACACTGTCTCCAAAAAAAGAAAGAAAAAAACAAAAACAAACAAACAAAAAAACTAAATCTGGAAGAGATCTTATGGATTATTAAATTCAGACAACTTCATTTGTTTTTTTTTTTTTAAGACGGGGTTTCACCATGTTGGTCAGGCTGGTCTCCAGAGTGCTTGGATTACAGGCATGAGCCACTACGCTCGGCTGACAACTTCGTTTTTTACAGAGTGGGAAACAAGTGCAGACTCCAAGGGTCTCACCCAAGATCACACAATTACAGACAATGGCTACAAGTCCTCTGCCTCTGCCATCCTGTATTACCCCATTCAGGGTCTCAAGGAGGCTCTATAGGACACTGTCCATTGTGTTTCGGGCTGAGTCCATAGAGACAGCCACAGACATGGGGGTCTCTGCTCACAGGGAAGGCAAGGGCTCTGGCCATGGAGCTGGGTGGGAAGACTCTGAAGCCCGAAGACACTGGGTCCTGCTCAGGGAAAGATCGAGGGTTTCATGTACAACGCACCTGGATACCTGGATGCGACTCTCAGCCTCACCCCTTCGCCAACTCTGTGTAGCCTGGCAAGCCATTCAACCCTCCACGATGCAACTTTCTTGTTTATAAAATGGGAATAACCATGCATTCCTCATAGGGCCTCTTCGGTGTGAGAATCAAATGAAAGAACATGCTGAAATGTGCTTGGTAAATACATTAATATTCTGCGTTCCCTCTTTGAATGACATGACCCAGGTAGTCAGGCTTCTGACCGCTAGAGGGCAGCAGAAGGTACTGGAAAACTGGGCCAAGTGAACCAGAGATTAAATGAGGTCCGGAGAGCAGGGATGAATTTATCAGTGTGGATTCTGGCAACTCTGGGAGGGAGGGCTTCAGCAGGTGCTGAGGGAAGAACTTTCAAGCAAAGCTGGGTCCTTCAGGAATGATTGTGGCAACCCTGATGCTCAGATGGAGTCCAGGCAGTTGACGGGAGTGAAGACCTTGCCAATAAGAGTGGATGCTGGAGAAGGAGCTCTTTGGTGGGGACCCGGGGCCGAGGCTGAGCTGGCACGCCCGGCCACCACCAATTAATCCATGGGTATTGCCCAGCCTTGAGCCTGGAGCGTCTCCCAGCTCCTGGCCAGAGTCCTGTGTGTTCTGGGAACAATCCCTACACCGAGTAACTCCTCTCCCTATTAGACCTCTTCGTCACCGAACCTCTGGAATTTAGGGGCCAGCAGCTTTCTTACCCAGGTCAGCCAGGGGTTCACGTTCTTCCCTCACTTGCCC